AAGCAGCTGAACAGGAGCCAGCAGTGTGCCCGGGTGGCCAAGAAAGCCAACGGCATCCTGGCTTGTATCAGCACTAGCGTGACCAGCAGGAGCAGGGAGGTGACTGTCCCCCTGTGCTCTGCACTGGTGAGGCCACACCTGGAGGGTTGTGTCCAGGTTTGGGCACCTCAATCCAAGAGAGATCTGGAGGGGCTGGAGCGAGGGCAGAGGAGGGCAACGAGGCTGGGGAAGGGCCGGGAGAATCAATCCTGTGAGGAGCCAGGGAAGGAGCTGGGAGTGCTCAGTGTGAGGAGGAAGAGGCTGAGGGGAGCCCTCATCCCTCTCTGCAGCTCCTGACAGGACATTGCAGAGAGGTTGGTGCTGGGCTCTTCCCACAGGGAATTAGTGACAGAACAAGAGGGAACGGCATGAAACTGCAACAGGGGAGGGTCAGACTGGGCATGAGCGAAAAATATTTCATAGAAAGAGCAGTCAGAGAGTGGAATAGGCTGCCCAGGGAGGGGGGGAGTCCCCATCCCTGGGTGTGTTTAAGGGCCGTTGGGATGAGCTGTGGGGGGATGTGGGGTAGGGGAGAACTTTGTAGAGTCAGGCTGGGGGTTGGACTCGATGATCCCGAAGGGCTTTTCCAACCTGAATGATTCTGATTCTTGTTGGTCTTCAGCTGTAAATGTGAAGCTGCCATTTTTAGGAAAGGCTTTAAGCTGGGACTTTGGCGATCCAGCAGCAGGATTTATTCCTATTGCTCAGTCATTCCTCTGCACGGGTCAGAAGAGGAGCAAGGCAGGTGTGGGGAAGCCAGCTGTGGGGCAGATTGATGGGGATAAAGGAGTTGAAATGCTGGAGTCTCTCCAGGCAAACAAAGCTGCTGGCTAACCCCGGTGTCGCAGCGGAGCCGCCGGGTTTCCTCTGAAAGGCAGCAGGAGTGGACAGTCAGAGGACGTTCAGGGATGGTTACGGCTGCACTAATGGCTGTGTACAGTGACTCAGAGCCTGACTCACCCCACGCTTTCTTCTCTACAGGATGCTCCTTACCTGGATCTGGCCCCATACATGCCAGATTACTACAAACCTCAGTACCTGCTGGACTTTGAGGACCGTCTGCCCAGCTCCGTCCACGGCTCGGACAGCCTGTCCCTCAACTCCTTCAACTCGGTCACCTCCACCAACCTGGAGTGGGATGACAGCGCCATCGCTCCATCCAGTGAAGGTCAGTGTTTTTTTTGGAGACAGATATGGTAGTAAATGATGGGCTGGAAGAAGCCAAAGCGAGAGACCCAGCTGTGAGTCTCTCCCATTTTGCCCTGGGAGGTGATGGGATTTAAGCTCTGGACAGCCTCTTTGCCTTGGACCAGGAGAGAAGGACTTGCTCAGCTAGTCACCTCGGGCTGTGTTGCCATCCTGGGGTGTGTGTTTTTGCAAGAACTGGAGAAACGTCCACAGGGAGTGAAAGCTGTGCCAGTATCTGAACGTGGTGTCTCATTCAGAGCAGGTATGCAGGGCTGCAGAAGACCCTTTTTAACTGCTGGATTTGCAATCCAGACACACCCAAATATGCTGGAGGTGGTGGGGAATAGTTTCCACAGTCTTTTCTCCATGTCTGCAGTCTGAGGGAAAGGCAGCCAGTGGTCTCGGAGGTGCTGGTTTTCCCTCTATGCATCTTTACTTGAGCAGCCTGATGAGTTGTCACATTTACCCCTTATCCCTGTCAGAGACAGCTGGGTGTTGTTCCTGATGAACTGAGAAGACACGTACCTTGTGCCTGCCCCCTTATCCTGCTTCAGGCTGAAGCAGGGAGCTCTTATCCTCACGCAGCATGTTCACCTGAAGGAGCAGATCTGCTGCTGCTGTTCTTAATCCAAAACACGTTGGCTCTGTTCCTTTTTTGCTGTCAGTTTGAACAAACCGAGATCAGGGGATTCTGGAATGGATGGGGCGATGCCATTAATGGGACGCAGTGAATTCAGGACTGAGTGCACCTATGGGTTCCCTCCGAGACAGGACTCCGCCAGTTGCCTTTTATGTGCAAGACAAAAACTGAAGATATTAAGGATTCTGAGAAGGAACAGTCCGGGATGGATGTTAGCATCCTTTCAGCAAAGGGTTTTGAAGCACAGCACTGTTTTGGGCTGACCTGCAGCATCTGTGCTCGTGCTGTAAGCGTGAAGGGTTTGCTTTTGGGGACTCACCCTTCAGCATCCCAGCTGGGTTGGAGACGACCTGAGGAGCCTGGCGATAAAAGTTACAAGAAGAAACTTTGGCGTAAGCAGCCGTTTCAGAGCTTGCTGCACCCCCTGGGCTTGTATTCCTGTTGCTCCTCCAGCATCTTGGTGCCAACACATCTCCTGACTGTCCCTATTGACTGGGCAAGGGGAGTCACTTGGGTTTGGCTACGCTCTCCAGCCTGTCTGATGGGTGGAAGCTTAATGCTCAAGAGAAGAGGGGTTTGGAGTAGAGATCCAGGCCCGGGCAGCGGTTGTGATCTGTGTCTCAGTTTCCCCCTGTGTGGAAGGGTTGGTGCTGATGTGCAAATACCTGGTCCTCCGCTGTGGGACCAGGTCGGTGGCAGTGCAGCCCAGGAGGGCAGGAATTGCTGCTCTTCCTCCCCTGTGGAGGAATTTCACTTCAATAACTGTTTCACTGCTCGTCATTTCAACAGGAGCATCTCGCTGCCCTGGGAGTGTAGGTGGAACTGGGGATTTTAGGATCAGAGGACAAGTTTTTCCCTTTAATCAGACCCCTGGCTTTGCAACATTAATGAGTCAAACAACACAGAATATATGGGTGGTAAATGTGAAATGGGGAAACTGAGGCACAGAGTAAATTCATTCACAAAGGGGATCCCTGATTAGGTACATGCCACTGATCGCTCTGGTTTAGCTTTCCAGCAGCTTGCATAATGAGGCCTTCATCCTTCACTGGTCCCATTGTAGCTCCCATAACACAAACATCCAGCAGGAACAACCGTTAGAGCAGCCGGTTTCCATTTGCATCCATGTTCCCTAACTATTTTCTCATGCGTTTCAAATACTGGTGGAAGATTGTTTTGTTTCTTTCCCATCTCCCTCCCCAAATCCCCTTCACACTCGCCCCTGTCCCCCCTCCCTCCCCACTACTTGTATTTCTAATCCTGAGTTTTATCCCTCGTTTTTGTAGATTATGATTTTGGAGATGTCTTTCCAGCAATGCAGACCATGCCCAGCAGAGACTGGGAAGGTGGGACATACTCATCTATTACAACATTTTATTTTTCTCTCTGCATTGCTGCCACCTGAAGCTTGCTGCATGCTCCCTGGTTCATTTCTTTTAACAAACAACCACCACATCTTGATGGAATTCAGTAGAGGCAGAATGGAGTGAAAAAGGTCCCCCAAGGTGGGAGGTTGTGTGTCTCATCTGTCTTTCCCAGCTCCTGGCGTATGCAGGTACACTCACCTGGGCCTGTATCCCGGAGCAGAGGGATGTTTTCCTGCCTCTCATGATGCCTCCGTGTCTTCTAGACATGTCTGCCCCAGCACGTGGGATAGCAGACGCGAGGCTGGAGTTCTGAGTGTGGTTCTGTGGCTGCTCAATACATTACAGCCTGTGTTGATAAAAGACCCTTTATTTTATTATAAATATTATAAAAGAAAATCTGCAAAATCAGCCGCGCCACAAAGCTGGCAGGCAGGATCAGCAGCCTTCCAAAATGAGCGTGACCTTACACAGTAGTAGATTTCCTCTTCGGGGTAAAGTTGATTGAAAAACTCATCCACCTTCATCGATTTCCTGAAAGCCCTGGAAAACAGATGAATTAATTCTGCTTTCTTCAATTTTGGGATCTTTGCAGGGATTCATTTGAGAGGTTCAAGGTTGTTTTCTTTGGACCCTGCTGTCCCATGTCAAAACCCCTCTCTCAAAGCCACAACATCCAGCACATGGCCGTGCTCAGTTTGGGTCACTACACCTTTTTTCTAAAACCAACTCGTCAGCTATGTCTGACCTTTATGGTCAAGAACATGTGCCCATTTTAGAGGAACTTGTTCTCCTTCCTCCACATGCAGTCCCTGTGCGTATCCTTTGCACGTCACAGGAGTAGGAGACCTCTCTGCTTTACCCCCAGAGGAAATACACCCACACTCTGTCCTTTCAGCTAAAAACTGGATGGAGCCTTGGGCCTGAATTGCCTTGGCCAGTACCACTTGAATATTTGGGGAAATTCTGCCTGAATTCCATGTGGATTGCTCTTGGGCTCTAACATGCTCCCTTTCATCTTCTTTCTTACCCCATGCACAGAGATGCCCACAGAGATGGTTTAACGTGTCACTGAAGCCTGAGTGTGCACCCAGAGGGTACAAACCACGTTGCCAAACCCAACACCCAGCAAACAACTTAACCGTGGGTGTTGGGTGCAGGCTGGGAGAAGCCAGGGGATGCTGGGGGCAGATCCCTCCGGGTTTCAGAGGTGTGCACATCTCCCGTGTGCAGGGTCATTGTGATCCACTGCTGCTCCGCGCTGCGTTCCTGGGTGCTGAGCAAACCTCAGCTGTAGCAAAGTTTTCATCTTTTCGTCCCAGCCCCCCGCCGGGTTAACTCACTGATGCATTCTTTGCCATTTGTACGTAGAGCGAGGGGTTAAGAAAGTTGGAGCAGTTTCCCATTTTCACCAAATGCATTTTGGGGTAAAGTTCTGTATTTTGGACAAAGATCGTTTTGTCTCAACAGAACTATCAGGGTTTAGGCAAAAGAAGTGACGTTCGTTTTGGTGATGCAGGCTAGAAGGCTGGGACTGAAGCAGCTTTTAAACGGTTTATTTTCCCTTTAATGTAGACATTAAAAATCTACCCGATTGACTTTCCTTAACAGAGCTCACACCCTCCCTGCTGCAGGGCAGGCATTTCAGCAGGGACAAAGCAGCATTTTTAAATCAGCTGTCACAAAACCGCCTTTATTAGTGTTGTTTGGTTTTGTTTTTTTTTATGAGAGGTTTCATTTTCCTACTCAAAACCTACGCCCCTGAGGCAGTCTGCAGGGGCTGCGGTTCCCTTCAGAAGGGGTGTCCTCCCTCCTGGCAAGAGGTTTCTAGCTGGCTTTGGAAATGAAGGGTGCTGGAGAAGAGAAGGGCATGGGTAACCTTCCATTTAACCTTGTGGATGGATAACTCTGAGCATGATTCCTGTAGCCCTTCTCTGCTGCTCCTTTTCTCTCTCGAGACTAACACGGGCCAAGCCTGTCTGTGCTGCCTGCTGTTCTCAGACCCCGGTGAATGCTGTGCGTGTCCCCCCGCCATTTCCAGTCCCCCATGTGTGTCTCGTGCAAGCGGAGGGAAGCATCCAGCTCCGTAAGGATCGCTGACTCCCTTTCTGCCCTTCTAGCCGAGCGAACATCTTCCTAAGAACCCTGTAGCAGGGGAGAAGCAGCAATGCAGCGCAGCAGCCTCATTAGCTCGCTGTCACCTTGCTAAGGAGCGCCGTGGGCCCCACCACCCCTCAAGTTCCTCCCCGAGGACAGTACCTCTACTTCTTAATCTGGCTGCAGAGTGACTGAGCTGTTATTTCCAGGCGTTGTCTAAATTGCAGAGCGACGCTGGGTCACGCGCTGGCCCCGCTGGCCCTCCTGGCGAGGAGCCCGCTGCCCACAGCAATCTCTGAAGCTAAGCTGGTCCAGGATGGGGTCACCTGCAAGCAGTATGGTGACTGTGTAGTCCCCCCAGCCCCACGTGTGCAGCTTTGCTTGATTTGCCTTGATCCAGGTGCCCGAGCTGACGTTAATCCCGCTCTTCCCTTCTTGTCTTTGCAGACGGAGACCTCACGGACACGCTCAGCTGCCCGCGCTCCACCGCCTCGGAGGCGAACGGCAGCAAGGCCTCTGTGAAGAGCCCGACGCAGCGCTACAACCCCTTCAACGAGGAGAAAGCTGACGTGCAGTCCTCCACCGAGACCACACCGGTGCACACAGCTTCCCAGGAGAAGGCAGAAGCCACCCCTGAAGGAACAGACCAGTCTGAGAGCTGCACGGAGCTGGAGGTCATCAGGTAGAGGCAGGGCTACCTGACTTGGAAACATGTCCCTGAGTGTCGTCTGTCACCAGAGGTTGATGATGTGCCCCCCCCTTCTAGCCCAGCACAGAATCACAGAATCATTCAGGTTGGAAAAGCCCCTCGGAATCATCGAGTCCAACCCTCAGCCCAACTCTACAAAGTTCTCCCCTACCCCACATCCCCCCACAGCTCATCCCAACGGCCCTTAAACACACCCAGGGATGGGGACTCCACCCCCTCCCTGGGCAGCCTATTCCACTCTCTGACCGCTCTTGCTGGGAAGTTTTTTCTTCATATCCAGTCTGAGCCTCCCCTGTTGCAGTTTCAAGCAGTTCCCTCTTGTTCTGTCACCAATTCCATGTGGGAAGAGCCCAGCACCAACCTCTCTGCAATGTCCTGTCAGGAGCTGCAGAGAGGGATGAGGTCTCCCCTCAGCCTCCTCCTCCTCACACTGAACACTCCCAGCTCCTTCACTGGCTCCTCACAGGATCAGTTCTCTAGGCCCTTCACAGAGACAGCATCTGTGGTGTAGCCTTCATAAAATCATGAGAAAGTGGTTTTATACCTCCAGACACCAACTGATGCTCTGTAGATGTCAACAGAGCTGGTTCCTTGGGTCTGTAGATCTACAGGCCGGCTCGACATAAACACCTTTGCCTGACAGCTTGTATCAGAGAGCTCAGAGGAAGCCCTGAGCTTTTATCTGAAGCTTTCTCCAGCTGGTGGCAGGTTTGCGGCAACTCTGGGTCTCAGATCTTCCCTCCTGTCTTTCCTCTTTGTCAAAGAGCTGTGGCTAAACCTGTTGAGGGAGATGCCTCCGCAGACCTGCTGGCCTGTGTTTGACTCTTGTAGAGGAGATCCCCAGGGGTCCCTCGGAGCCCTTAACCCAGACAGAGTGCTCCAGGCTCCGTCTGCTCACACCCAGGGATGGGGGCACCCCACAACCAGCCCAGCAGGCCTGTGGTTTGTTCCTGCACCCTGTTTTTCCTGGGAGGAGCAGAGGAGCTGGGTTATGTCACACCCCGCTCTCGGGCAGACAGGAGGGAAGGGGAGCACCGCACTCGTTCCCAAACCCAAGTGGCCTGGCAGCAGTTTGGGTCCATGGGAGGCCTGAACACTTCCACATGCCGGTGTGCTGTTGGCTGGAGCCTGCATCTCCCTCTTCTGGCAGGCAGGGACAGGGCATTCCCATGTCCTCTTGAAACCTTCTCCCTTCCCAGCATCTTGCTCTCACACAGGGATTTCTCCCGCATCACTTGAGCTCTATATCCATTTGTGATCCCCTTTGCAGCCAACGGAAGCCCAAGATGCTGCATCCAGCAGCTGATGCCTCTTTTCTTTTTTGGATAGGGAGGAAACAGTGTCCATACCTGCTTTTCTTATGATGGCTGGCATGGAGACAGGGCCTCTATGTGGCTGCACACTGAGCGATGTCCTTGATAGAAGGATTTCTCTGCAGTAGGGAAAACTGCAAAGGAAGGTGTCTGGGAAAAGGGTGGGACCCCTCTCTGTATTGCAGGAATCTAAGCAGGCACAGATGAGTGATGGGTTTCTCACCATGCAGGTTAGCCAAGAAGAAGAAAACAGGCAAGAAAAAAAAAGCAAAACCCGAGGAGGCGGTGAACAGCACTGCGCCCCTGGTGCCCGAGACCCAGCAGGCCAGCGGAGACAGCGGTGTGAACGGGCTGAGCGACAGAGAAGACCCACAGAGAGACGAGGGTCCCACTGCCCCGGCGGGTGAGCCGAGCCCAGGAGGGCAGGAGGAGGGTCGGGAGCGCTCGACCCTGAGCCAGCTGGCCTTACGCATCCCCGAGATGAAGGACACATCCATGGAGAGCGTGGGGCAGCCGCTGAGCAAGGTGATGGACAGACTCAACGGGCAGCTGGACCCCAGCGGCTGGAACGCCCCCCTGGAGCCCCCCGGGCAGTCCTTTCGGACTGGCACGCCAGGGGAGACCCCGGATGGATCATCCTCTGGCGACTTTAGTGAGGGGATTTCAGCCCCCATGGACTTCTACCGCTTTACCGTCGAGAGTCCAAACGCTACTGCACCAGGTGGTGGCCACCATGACCCTCCAGGGCCTGGCCAACCGCCACATGTTTCTGGTAGCCCTGAGGCTCCTGAAGAAGAAGAAAGGAGAGAGCGAGAAGCAGTTGGGGCAGTAGAGGAGACTGGAGGAGGGAGTGATGAACCCCAAATGCTCCAGACAGAAACTGCCGACCCCCAGGCTCTCTGTGAGCCGAAGAAGGAGCAGCCCAGCCCTTCCCCGAGCAGTGCCGAGGACTCTGGCGTGGAGGAAGGGCAGGGCAGCCCTTCGGAGCTGACCCATCCCTCGGAGTTCAGGTGAGGCTGGGTTTACTCAGCAGAGAGAGCATCTTCCAAACAGTCTTGACCTCAAGCTGGCACTTTTTCCCTTGTCCTTGGTTTGGAGGGCAAAGACCGTTCTCTTCCAGGTTGAAGGGGTCAGGAGGAGAAGGTCTTGGGGGCCAACAGGTGCCCAAATCACAGACAAGTTCAATAAGGAAGGGGATACCCTTCCTGGACTCACCCAGCCCCACGTCTGTGTCCATCCTCTGCTCTCTCTGTCTTCACAGGGTGGATAACAACCATCTCCTCCTGCTGATGATCCACGTCTTCCGGGAGAACGAGGAACAGCTGTTCAGGGTAAGGTGGTCACCATGGATCTCCCACGAAGGGCCAGCTCTGGGCCTGCATCGTGAGCTGAGAGCTCATTTCTCTCCACACAGATGATCCGAATGAGCACGGGGCACATGGAGGGGAATCTGCAGCTGATCTACGTCCTGCTGACGGATTGCTACGTGTACCTGATCCGGAAAGGTATCCCATCCCCATAGCCTCTGTGCTCAGCTCCAGGGAAGGAGGCTTGCTTGATCCATGCCTGTCCATAAATTAGGGCAACAGAGCTTAGTACCTTCCCTGCCAGCTCCTGCCAGTTCCCTCGTGTCCCTTGGCACGGTGGCGGTCACAGTCATGAGCTCAGGTTGATTTGTCCCCCGAGAAGCCCTGGGACATGTGCCCTGTGGCTCCTTGCTGCTCGGGACATGGCGTGGTTGGCAGATCTGTCGCTGCCACTACGCAGCGGCCCAGATCCGGGCGGCGCTGGGTTCCTTCGCCCCCCCTTCATGTGGCTCTTCGTGTCTGTGCCAGGGGCAGCGGAGAAGCCGTACATGGTGGAGGAGGCAGTTTCCTACAATGAGCTGGACTACATTTCGGTGAGTGGAGCCTGGGTCGGGTTGGCCCTCCTGGGGGGACCAGGAGGGGAGTTTGGGGGTTGGTCCTCACCCCTGTGCCCACGGGGGTGTCAGGAGCATCATGGTGGGGTGGTTTTGTGGGGCGCTTTGTCCCCCAGGTAGTCTTTTGGCCAGTGAAACATTGAGACTGGGAGAGTTAGAAGGGATCCCCCCTCAAATGGCACCTCTGTGGTCCCCAGCTTGATTGCACCTTCGCATGGGCAGCAGAGTGACCACTGCCCTTCTCCCTGGGGCCAGAAGCCCAGTTCAGTCCTGCTTCGCCACCCCTCGTCCCCCGCCTGGTTTCCTTAACTACCAGTTTCTCTACCTACCGTCCATGGCACAGGTTGGGCTGGATCAGCAGACGGTGACGCTGGTGTGCACCAATCGGAGGAAGCAGTTCCTGCTTGACACCGCAGACGTGGCTCTCACCGAGTAAGCAGGGAGCAGGCAGCAAACCGTGGCACGTTCCTCCCGGGTGTGGGACTTCTGCCTGGCACGTCTCCCCGTGTGACTTGGGGAGCACAAGAGACTCCGGTGACAGCCCTTCACGACAAAGTCCTGCCACCAGTGAGGGTTTGGGGTTGGGTTTGATGCTGCCGGCTAAACCCTGCAGGCAGCTGGAAATGCCTTGAGCGTGGATTAACCTGAAGTGTCCTCCCTGGATACACACAGCAGTCGCCCTGTCCCTCAGGCTGACAGCCTCAGGGCTCTGAGCAACACAGGCTACGTGTCCTTTGTGTCACTTGGGATGAGCAGGGACAAGGTCTTGTGTGTTGTTGGCTCAGGGAGGTGACCTTGTTCAGGCCTGCGTGGTCATACTGGGATCTGGGATGGGATGGGTGTCCATCTCTCAGTCCCACCCATCTCCTTCCCTTCTGGAGCTCAGACGTTGCAACCCCCGTCACCTTTGGTCTGTAGGTTGATTTCAAGACCCCTTGGTCTGGAAGACCAGAGGCCCACATTGAAGGGAGCCTCCCCTTGGCATCAGAGCGCGTGAGGGAGATGAGGGCTGCTTGCCCCGGCCTCATCAGAGATCCCTGTCTCCCTCTCAGATTCTTCCTGGTCTCCTTGAAGTCAGCCATGATCAAAGGGTGCCGGGAGCCCCCGTACCCCAGTATCCTCACGGATGCCACCATGGAGAAACTGGCACTTGCCAAGTTTGTGGCCCAGGAGTCCAAGTGCGAGGTGAGTTTGGGCATCACCGACATCTCTCCACCTTGGTGGAGGCTCGGGGGAGTCTCCCTCCCGTTGACTTTCTCCACCTGATTCTTGCAGGCCTGCGACGTGGTGGTGCGTTTCTACGGCCTCGTTCACTGGGAAGACCCCATGGACGAGGCACTGGGACCTGCCAACAGTAGCTACACCTCCGCAGACAACACGGTCACCAAGGACGGCGTCCTGCACTACAAGGCGGGGACGTCCTACCTGGGCAAGGAGCAGTGGAAAACCTGCTTCGTGGTGCTCAGGTGGGCGCCGGGGCCGTGGGTGGGGACCGGGGTCAGGCAGGGCTTGTCGCAGAAGGTGCTGGGACCAGTTTGCTGCCCAGGAGCTCTTTGGGAGATGGAGGGAGTAGCCATCTTGTCACTTAAGAGGCCAAAACCACCAGTCGGGGCTGCCCAGCAGCAGGAACATCACCCCACGGGTGGAGGGCAGGGCAGGAGTGGCCGCGGGTGTTTGTGCAGTTGCCAGGGCCGAGCTGACGCCAGTTCCCACCTCTCTCATCTTCCCAAACGGCAGCAACGGGATCCTGTACCAGTACCCCGACCGCACGGACGTCACCCCTCTGCTCTCCATCAACATGGGGTAAGCGGCTGGCGGGACGTGGCGCCCCGACTCGGCAGGGATCTGGGGCTCAGGAGCTCCCTGGGACATTCGGGGGGGGTTGGGGAAAATTGTGATCTAGGCTGTACCACAGGACTCCCCGCCTGCTCCTGGCTGGGTGCAGACACCCCTGTGCTTTGGCTCCGGCACGTGGAGCTGGAGATGGGCTCGTTTCCTCCTGGTTTTTGTGTGCCAAGCCCACCCTTCGATGGGGAATTGGCCTCTGTAAGGTTGAGGTACCCCTCCGAGAGCCACACTGGGTGACCTCCACAAACCCACCGTGCTCAGCGCTGGCTCTGCCCCCACATGCAGCGCGGGAGGCCGTCCTCAGAGCGGCCACAGGGGATGTCACAGATGGGAAACGAGAGCTTGCGGGGGAGAAGGGGTGACAGGCAGCGCAGGGAGGCTGTTTCCAGGCTGCTGTCAGGTCCCGCTGATCTCCATCCTCCCCCTCTCTCCCAGCGGCGAGCAGTGCGGGGGGTGCCGGCGCTCCAACACCACCGACCGGCCCCACTCCTTCCAGGTGATCCTGACGGACCGGCCCTCCCTGGAGCTGAGCGCCGAGAACGAGGAGGACATGGCGGACTGGATGCAGTACTTCTGCCAGGCTGTCTCCAAAGGGGTGAGCCGGGGACAGCCCCCCAACACGCACAGGGGCACCCACACCCTCCTCTGTGCCCGGGAGCCCCTTTGGGGCACAGCCCAGGTGGCGGCGGGGGCGTCCGGCAGCGATGGAGCGGGTGGTTTTCTCCCAAGCTGGGCAGGCTTCCCCACAGGGCACCCCACGGAGACGGGGCTCCTTCGTGCCAGATTTTAACACCCCCCCTGTTTCCCTGCTCCATGCAGGTGATTCCCCAGGGTGTTGCCCCTACGCCGTGTGTCCCCTGCTGCCTCGTGCTGACGGATGAGAAGGCTTTCACCTGCCACGAGGACTGTCAGACAAGCTTCTTCCGCTCGCTGGGCACCGTGGAGCTGACGGACATCACCGCTGTCTCCACGGAGGCCGGCAAGGAGTACTGTATCCTGGTGAGCGTGGTGCTTTGGGACCGACCAGCCCAGGGCCCGGGCAAGGACCGCGGTGGTAACACCCAGCCTCTCTCTTGGTGTTTAGGAGTTTGCTCAGGACAGAAAGCAGTTTCTGCCCCCCTGGGTCCTCTATTTTAGTTGCACTACAGAACTGGAGAGGTTCCTCTCGGCACTGAACGCTGCATGGAGGAACATCTACCAGGTGAGTGTGCAAGGCTGCATCGTGGTGCTTCCCCCAGTGAGGAAGTGGGGCCCTTGGAGGAAGGTGTGGGTGAATATTTTCCTGCAGGGTGAACCCAGCTTTCCCATGGAGGGCAGGAGAGCCACGGAGCTCCTCTGTGTCTGTATAACCACGGGATGTGGGATCCAGAGCCTGAGTGCCCTGAGCATCTGGGGCTGGCGAGAGGAGTGGGGAGGAACCTGGGTCAACCCCATCCCCCCTCCCTCAGCCATAATCATCACAGAATCATCTGGGTTGGAAAAGCCCTTGAAGCTCCTCCAGTCCAACCATGAACCTCACCCTGACCGTTCCCAACTCCACCAGATCCCTCAGCGCTGGCTCAGCCCGACTCTTCAACCCCTCCAGGGGTCCCGGGGACTCCCCCCTGCCCTGGGCAGCCCATTCCAACGCCCAACAGCCCCTTCTGCACAGAAATCCTTCCTCAGAGCCAGCCTGACCCTGCCCTGGGCAGCTTGAGGCCATTCCCTCGGGGCCTGGCGCTGGGGCCTTGGCTACAGAGACTCATCCCCCCCTCTCTGCCCCCTCCTGGCAGGGAGTTGCAGAGGGGCCAGGAGGTCTCCCCTCAGCCTCCTCTTCTCCAGACTGAACCCCCCCAGTTCCCCCAGCCGCTCCCCAGCAGACCTGTGCTCCAGACCCTGCCCCAGCTCCGTTGCCCTTCTCTGGACACGCTCGAGTCATTCAATGGCCTTTTTGGGGTGAGGGGCCCAAAACTGAACCCCCTCAGCGAGGGGCGGCCTCACCAGTGCCAAGTATGGGGAGATCCTTCCCTGTCCCTGCTGGCCGTGTTATTGCTGACACAAGCCAGGATGCCACTGACCTTCTTGGCCCCCTGGGCACACTGCTGGCTCCTGTTCAGCCAGCTGTCAATCAAGCTCCCCAGGTCCCTCGGTGACTGGCAGCTCTCCAGCCACTCCTCCCCAGGCCTGTAGCCCTGCTGGGAGTTGCAGTGGCCCAAGGGCAGCCCCCGGCATTTGCCCTCAGTGAAACTCCCCCAGTTGGGCTCAGCCCATCGCTCCAGCCTGTCCAGGTCTCTCTGCAGAGCCTCCCTACCCTCGAGCAGATCAACACTCCCACCCAACTGGGTGTCATCTGCAGACCTTATGACCCGAGCACCTTTCCCGTCTGTTTTTGAGGTCATTTTACAACAAGGGGGAGAAGCAGCTGGTTTTCGTTCCTCTCCTGACTGCCCCGCATGTGTGTTTCAGATCGACCTCCTGCACAAGGCCATTCTGGACGCCGCCATCAAGAAGAAATGCGAAGACGCTCAGAGCCTCATCGACAGCGCCTGGCAGCGCAGCGACAGCCTCTGCCGCGGGCGAGCGGAGCGGGACCCCTGGTGTTAACCCTGCCCGGGCTGGGGGGAAGGACGGCTGACGGGGGCCTCAGCGCCCGTATCCAGCTGCCCCGCAGCCAACTGGCACCCCAAGCCCTCCTGCCGGCGCTCGGGGCCCACCGGGAACGTGCCTGCAGGCGTGGGCCCTGCACCCCATCCCCACCATGCTCTCCGCTGAGTCGGGGAGGCCCAGCGCGTTTTGGGGAGACACCGGATGCTCCAGCGCGCTGGAGGCGAGGCCGAGCTCGGCTGCTTACCCTGCCCAGGCGAGCCTGCACCCTCCAGCCACGGGGCAAAATAATTTGCCTTTCACGGAATAAATATCCCACTAGTAGTGAGGGAGCAGGGTGGGCTGGGGATGAGCATCCCCCTGTTGCGGCGGGGAGTGGGTCTGAGGACTTGTTCATTTTAGAACAGGGCAGGGGCGCGGGACACGGGAACACAAAATCGCTACCGTGCATGTTTTCTCCTCGCTAATACAATCACCGGGTATACCAC